TCTTCGTGACTGAATAGAACATCATTATGTAAAAGTCCAGACTTTGAGTTTCATCTGGTGATAATGTGCAGTACTTGTACATAACAAAAAAAAGAAGCTTGCTGTCACACTGTTCATGAAGTTCTAGTTTTGTCTGTTTTCTGAGTGGGCCTATAGTGGAGGTCTGAAGAGGATTTTCCTTCTGAGGAAGATGATGGTGAAAATAAGAGTTCTGCTTGATCCCTGCGATGAACTTCAGTCCTCCTGACATTTCTGAAAGAACGTATGCCTTGCTGAACATCTGGCACAGCACAGCTATGATGAAAGAAAGAGAAGACATCTGTCTTCTGGACCCATGAATCCAGCTTGTTGTTTCCCCCAAAGTAAATGTAGCTGATTATAGTATTGTTGTTAAATAAAAACAACAAATTAAACCTCTAGAAAAACTTCAACTGCTGTGTTTTTAAATTTAACATGCAGATGAAAGTTTTAGTTGAATGTTGAATGTTTTAGTTGTTTTTAGTTGAATGTCAAAGGCCTCCCTCTCTGTTTAAAACGAGGGTAACAAAAACTAAGGAATGACAAATTATTTAATTATTGGCAGCAACACAGGTGTGTAGGATGGCTAACAACAACACTATAACATAGTGTGTATGCTAGCACCTAGCTAACGCATCAACAATAGGAAGAGGAGGAGGAGCCAACACCGAGGGGTCGCAAGAAGGCAGCTGGGCGAAGAAGATGAGCTAAAAAAACCTTTAAAACAAAAACAGAATGATGCTACATGTTGTATAGAGCAGCGGTCCCCCCCTCCCCGGGCCACGGGTCGTTTGGTCCCGGGCCGTGAGAGTTGAGGCTCGGGTGTGAAATTGATGGTTTTCAGGGTTTTTTATCATTAACTTGGTTTCCCTGGGTCTTTCCCATATTGTAGTTGTGTCTTATTTTGAAAGAAATATTCACGCGTTACCATAGTGACCAGAAAGCATTAAGGAGCAGAGAGGAGGATGTTACTCTCAATATTGTTGGTGCATTTCAGGAGGACGCTGCTAATAAAGTTACACAATTACACAGTTAATTTGCATTTATTGTTATATTTACAAAATACCAGTTTTTGTCGTATCATTTCATTTTGTTGTATTTATCCGCCACACCTTAAACGCCGGTCTGTGAAAATAATGTCTGACATTAAACCGTCTGGTTGGGGACCGCTGGTATATGTCTATAAGATGTTAACATGTATGCCTTTTGCAATGTATCGTTGTGGTTGTATTTACGTTAGTTTAACGAGCCATTAGACACAGAGATCGTTAAAAACAACCAGAGCAGCGAAGCTGTGTAAAAAATGCACGTTTGTGTGATCACATCCAGTGGGTGAGTGGGTGGCACACTTTTATACGGTGAGAGGAAATGGAGCCATGTTGTGCGTTTTTATACAGTTGTTGCTCTGACCTAACTTATTAAAATGATTAGTAGAGTGTTAGAACAAGAACAACAAGGTTAAAATATGAAACTAAATGTATTAAGATAATGAAAACTGTGACTTTCCCTTTGCAAAAAGCATGACCGCTCATTCTTCTCTGACCTCTCTGTTTATGTTCGTTTCACAGGTCCGTGGGGTCGTTGTATGGGAAGTGAATGTGGTCCTGGAGGCAGCCAGAGTAGAGCGGTATGGTGCGCTCATTCTGAAGGTTGGACCACCCTGCATACCAACTGTGACCAAGCAGAACGACCAGACAACCAGCAGAGCTGCTTCAGGGTGTGTGACTGGCACAAAGAGCTGTATGACTGGCAGCTGGGTGCCTGGAACCAGTGTGTCCCAGTGATGCGCGGTGCAAGGGTGCAGCGTCCTACCACGTGCACTCAGGGAGAGGAAGGAATTCAGACCCGTGAGGTGGGATGTGTTCAAAAAGCAAAGGGGGAGCCTGCAGAAGATGCAATCTGTGAATACTTTGAGCCCAAACCGCGCCTGGAGCAGGCCTGTCTCATCCCATGTCCTCAGGACTGTGTGGTGTCTGAGTTTATCCCGTGGACTCCCTGTTCTAAAACCTGCGGGATAGGGTTACAGAACCGCATCCGCTTTGTTCTGGCTCCACCATTGTTCGGTGGGGCAGCCTGCCCAAATCTGACTGAATTTCAGACATGCCAGCTAGGTCCCTGTCAGGGAGAAGAGAGCCTTTACAGTCTCAGGGTGGGTCCCTGGGGCCCATGCACTGTCCCACTGCCAAGGCAAACCAGACAGGCTGACAAACCACCAAGAGAGAGTGAAAAACAACCCCGGGAAAGTGCTAAACTTTCTAATGAGGGAGACAAACTCACCAAAGAGGGTGAAAAACCACCCAGAGGAGATGGCAAACAGGCCAGAGAAGGTGAAAAACAGTTAAAAGAAGGAGACAAACAGCCCAAAGACGGCGAAAATCCACTTAAATCCAAAAGAAAACTGGGCAGGGGAAACAGGAATAGGAAATCAGACAGGCCATCGCTGCTGGCTGATCGGCCGAAACGACAGAAAAAAGCAAAAAACAAAGAAAAAAGAGAGAAATTAAGAGAGAAAGTCCAAGAGAGGTTAAGGGAGAGGGGCAAAGCAAAAGATGCTGAGACCAGAGAACTCATCAAAAAGAAGAGGAACAAGAATCGTCAGAACCGCCCGGGAGGAAAGTTCTGGGACCTACAGACCGGATTTCAGACCAGAGAAGTGACCTGTGTGCATAAGAGCGGGGCTGTCGAAGCTCTCAGGTAACCACGACTGAAATATAATGAAGAAAATGAACTATTATCTGTGATGTCATGGTTCTATCCTCCATAGAGTATTGATATCATCATATCTTTGTCAGCATGTTAGCTCGTCTTCTTCTTTTAAAGATCAGTTACAGACTCAGAGCTATAGTTAAATCTCTGATATTTGAGCTTGTCTTAGAGTTGACAACTGTTATTCTATTCATTACTGGTTTTAAATTAAACTCAATGATAATTTCATTTTTTAATAAAGATGAAAAATCACCCAAAAATGTGTTTTATAAATATTTTATCATGCCCCCATTAACAAGATTACTATCAGTTTTAATTCATGAAAATGTAACATAATTAATACACACAGCTTCCAAGCCCAATGTTTTTGTATTCATTCATTTTTTCTTTTAAAAACATAACCTGCCCTGCATCAAAAGCTGAGGCAGGAACAGGCTGATGTGGTTATAGCACATAAACCACAACCTGATTCACTGGCTGCAGGGATATCAGAGACACAGCTGTCAGTGTTTAAGCAACTCAAAGATGATCCAAGTTAAGTAATACACACAACTGGTTAGTTTGTAGCTGCCTTGATAGGTTAGGCCGGTGCTGATGTTTTGGTATTTGAGAATGTTAATGTGAATTAAACTCAGTAGTATTAAACCCAATAACTGCCACATTTACCAAAATACAGCTGCTGATTTGTTTGCTTGTTGTTTTTAACTTAAACTATCCAGTAAATAATTAAAAAGACTAATAAGCCCAGGGTTTAAAATACTCAATGTCAGTCAATGTGGCAAACATAACTGTTAGCTTTGAGCATCTAACCACAGGCTAGAGGACTGGGGGATATATACAGACTTTACAACTTCTGCCAAACGATTGTTTCTGTGTATGCCAAAAATAATTCACAAGTAGAATAAAGAAACTTCAGGTTTTCCATTTGGCTCGTTACTTTTAGTAAAATGACAATAAGATTCTCAGTTTTTTTATCACCTGTCCAGTAACTTTACACTTTACACATGAGCCATATAAACCATAATAAGAAACAGGCCATTTAACATGTAAAGCCTCATATGGTCATAATGAAAACATGGTGCAGAGGCTTGCAGGTCAATTGAGGCAAAATGAGAGTAAAATAAAACAATTAACCTAACACAGAAAAGCAAAGAAAGTGTGCGCGTTAAAATCTAAAACATCCAGAGAAGAAGAACAATGGAAGTGTTAGAGAAGCATCACATCAATATCGCAAATCATTTTCTTTTGAACAAAGTAAAGCAAACGCAGTGATAAAAACAACAACAGCGATTTTAAAGCAGCCCTGTCTCCCAACAAAGCCACGGCCTGTGGAAGCAGCCTCAGAAATACAAATAAATGACTTGGATTCTTGGAACTTTAATATGCCGATTATCACATTAGCTGCCTCAGACAGAGAAAAGCCTTGGAGTGAACGAGCGGTAACAACAGAAATAGCCACTGAAATGCAGCTCGGATGTGATTCTGATTCGCACTGACTTCCTCTTTTCTTTTTTTCTTTATCTGCCAGCTTCCTGTGAACCCGAGGATATTGTGTTTATACTATAAATATGATCAGTGATGTTTCAGTGATACATCTGTCATACTTAAATGTTGTGCTCATTTTGCACACAGATAAAATATTGCATAATTATAAAGCATTCAAATATTCTTTCTTTACATCAAACCAGATTTTAGCACGTCATACAGCCTGTTCTTTTTAATAACTCTGATATTATATCAGTTACAGTATTTCTCTTTTTCCTGCAAAATATAAAAAATGTGGATCGATTGTAACTTTTGCACAGTTCTAAACATGTTTTGTTACATTTTTAAGTGGTTACATCGAGTACTTTTCTGTCTTTATTTCCATGTTCTACAGCCTGTGCTCTCAGGAGACTTTGCCGGTGACCTTCCAGGCTTGTGTGATAACCAAAGACTGTGATGTGACTGAATGGTCCAAATGGTCTGCTTGCACCAAGGAGTGCTATGACCCCACCAGTCCCAAGGCGGTGTGGACTCGCACTAGAAAAGTGACCCAGTTCCCTGTGGGTGGAGGAATAGATTGTCCAGAGTTGGAGGAGAAGGAGCCCTGCACCCCCCAGAGTGACGTGGTACCACCCTGCATTACGTAAGTACATGTGCTTAACTTAATGTACGAGCAGCAGAAAGTGACTCGTTATTATGAACTTATAGACCACACCTCCCTGTGGTAGACAGAGAACAAGGCCAGGTTGTACCTCACGTCTTTCCACCTCTTTTTCTGGGGTGGTACAGGGTGGATTAACGGTTTCGTCCATCTCAGGCTTCAAAACACAAAACTCTTTTTTTTCTGTGTTATTGCTGAAAGAAAACACTTTGTGCATACGGACTCAGAAAAACAAAATCTGTCTTTAAATGAGAAAGATCTAACACAATTAACTTGTGTCGTGTTCAGAATTTTTGGAAGGAATCTCAGGAGAACGGTCTGTCTATTAAAAAAGGATGTACCTTTCTTTTGGCAGTTGAGATTACAAGTGTACACAGCGCTGTGGACCTCTGTGCGAACCAGCAGCATGTTTCACAACAAGGATGAACTTAAAGTGAGCTGCACAACATTAATAGTGAGACAAAAACATAGATTATAGCAGCTATCTTCCTCCCGCATGGACGTGGCAGTCTTGGTGTCTGCTGCGAAGCATCCTCGTATTTCCATGACCTCGTCTGGTATCTGCTCCCTCGCCTGTAAGAGACAGAAAAGCCTTGATAATCTGATGTTATTATCCATTGTTCTTCTAGTGATTCAAAGTTGGTTTAGAATATCATGTTCGGGACTCTCTGGTAGGTAACAGGCATCTCCAAAAACATTAGAGCACTTATACAAATATGTGATGTCTTGATGAATCGAGCAGATATTTGAAGTTTACACAGAAACATCTTAAAAGTTTGATGGAGACCAGAACAGCCAATCAGATTTTTTCGCATCCAAGTCTGTGATTGGCTGGTTTTGTGGCACAAATATAACGGTGTAGAGAAAGAGGTGAGCGCGCACGGGCAGAAATGTTGAGAGCGCGAGCAACACATTGCGAGCGAGCGCAAATACAAAAACTGAGCGAGAGGGGCTGCTGTGTGTGTGTGGATAATAGCAAACACTGAAATACAGTTTTTGCACGCAGCAATGAATTTTATTCACTCAAATTTAGCTTTTCTTCGCTCAAAATAAAGTTCTCCTCAAAATGCAACACCTGCACCTGCAATTTTTTTTGCGTGCGCTCAGAATAGTGCCATAAAAATAACGCCATAGCTGGCCCCGCCTACTTTCTGTTTCCATCATGGCCGTGTTGTGTGTTTAGCTGTGTATTGTGTGACCAAGTTTCTGCATCTAGAAGAGCTAGATTAGTTTTTTTCTGTATATACTGTAAATATTATAAAAACATTATGAATAATATTTTTATAATATTTACAGTATATATTATAAAGTATACAGTAATATTTATAAAGCAAATAGACCTGGTAGCTGTAGGGGTGGGAAAGCTTTTTCTTTAAAACCATTTCTCCCGTGTAGAGAGGGAGGTTAGACGTTAGTTGTGTTTTCATTCTTGATTGTTCTGTTTGTTGTCTTGGCTGTGCCCACACTGATGATTTCTACATCAAATGAAAAATAAACTATTCTGTTTTTGAGACTGCAAATCTCACTGTAGCACTAATCCTTCCATTTTCAAGCTGTGCTTGTTCCTCGCTATAATGCGGTTCACCTTTCGTGGCCTCGCTGTTACAGCGCATCGTGTTCTGCGTCCTGATCAGCTGTAGACCATTGACAATCAATCTCCTCCGTGCCGTGCCTCCTGTACAGTACAGCATGTGATCAACTTGTAAAATTCACATAACTCTTCGATCCTAGCAGTGTGACTCTGAAGTGCTGCACTGTATGTTTGTAAGTTTTCTCCCCAACAAACACAATAATATCGATGAAGATTTTTGCACCGACAAAGGCGCCTGCCGTAGCACCCAAAAGGCAGAGGAAGATGTTAACCATCGCACAAAAAGTTAGACTTCCGGACATGCTAAAGGAAGGTAGAAGTTAGCGTATTTTTTGGATTATAAGGCGCATTAAGCGAAACAAAACAGTCAGATAAATCAAACTTTATTCAACTCATTCTTCTTGCTTCCTCCACTTCCGTATCATTGATTCATTAATGTTGAATTTTCTGGCAGCTGCTCTGTTCTCATGTTCTGGACCTGAAAACAAGGTTTGATCTTTGGTTTCGTTCTATAATACTGGACTTATTTTTCTACAAGGTTTGAACTTTGAGAGTTTAAACAAAACAGAAAAGTGTGAAAATGTTCATGCCTGTCTGAGAAAAGTGTATAAAGTGTGTAGTGAGGGGTTTCACAGCCTTAAAGCATCTATAATAATTGTAAAAAATAAAGCTGGCTACGTCGCAGATTTCACTTATCGCAGGTTATTGTTAGAACATAACCCTGTTTAGATCACTCAGCTTTAGACACTGTTGATAGGAGTAGGATTAGTAACCCCACCACCAATTTGACTTTCTTGCACCACTCTACTGAAATGAACATAAATGATTAACTACTCTCAAAACAAGATTTCAGGGGGAATAACTCTGGGAGTTAGCCCTGTAAGACCCAACCCATCAAAAAATAGCCGGAAAATTCAGATTTTTTTGGAACTGAGATGTTTATTAACCCTTATGACAAAATCCACAAAATGTTTTTGCTATATCATGTTCTTCATGATATATTTGTTATATATTTTTTGTATCGCACTTGATACATTGGCCATTTTTGGCAACTTTTTGTTAACAACAATGTTCATTTTAGACAAAAAAATAATTTTGTCCATAACATTTTGAAATTATGGCAAGTATTGATCATGTTGATGAGATAGATGTCTCAGTATCAAATATGATACAAAGGGTATTGTAGGGTTAATATTAATTATCAGAGCACGCAAAAGTTACTATTCTTCTGCATGGCCTGGTGTGATCAAACAATCTTGAGCTACTTTAAAAAAGCTAAACAGCTAAAATTTTCCATAAAGACATAATAAAGTGAGGCATCTGGAATCTCATAAAGTTTGTTGCTGGTTAGTTGATTTGTCCTGTTAATATGACTGGTGCACATATGCCTGTCCAGTTAGGTGGTAATACTGAATTTATGCATTTATCTTTATCACACAACCAAAAAACGACATCTAACAGCCATGTGCTATTGCCTACATCATAAACTTGCAAGCACTGTGCATGAGGTTTATTGTAGCACATTATAAATCTAAAGAGTCTTCCTCTTCTGCTCCATACAGGCTGACACAGTAATACCACTGTTTAGTGGTGTTACATGTCTTAAAGATTCCATGTTTGGGTTTTGGATGATATCAGCATCATCTTACTCATATCACGGGTGTCATTTTTTTGTGATATTCTCAAGTTACTCCCCCTGGACCATGCAAAAAGGGAAAGTTGTGTTTTTATCATGTAGACCACAGGTAGTATGGATTTTTTTTTAATGTCATAGGACAAGTCTGCCCTTTAGAAAAGTAGGGGTTGCTAAGGTAACTGTGAAGTGATCTGATACATGTGGAAGATAGATTGTTGCATGGAGAAATGAAGATAGTAGCACAAAATGTCTGTGACTACTTCTCAGTAAGACCAACATCAGGTGGTTGAATGGTTCTGAGTGCTCCTCACTGTATCCAGGGATGGTTTTTGCTCGTTAGCCTTTTCCTGAGCAACTATAAGCGAATTCAGACTGACCAAGGGTGAGCAGCTGCATCTGTTAACACAGGTGCCATCATGGCACTGCTGCCTGTTTTGCTACTTCATCTGCTACACTGTGCCTTTAGCTACCATGGTGTCAGTTTTCTGATATGACGGGCATTTATTGCTAGTACAACAGAGGGGAGTTGTAGAGCTTCTATTAATTGTGCTATTGGTGTTCCATCTGCTCGATGGAAGCCTCTCTGCTTTCAGCTGTTAGCGCTGACATGTCACAAGCAAATTGGAGTAAACATTTAATCTTTTACCTGTAGCTATTTTACAGGCAGCTGTCAGGTTGTGGAGAGCACAGCTGATCAACCATTCGTGCTTGTATGGTTGTGAAAGTCTCAACAGCAGAGTTTAGTTGAACAGCGGCATAACCAGCAGAGTCAACCTTTTCATCCTGAAAGCAGGAGTTGTCCACAAATAAAGTAAGATCAGCAGCTATCATGTGCTTAAGCTTCTCAGTAAGCTGTAACAATCATGGGAGTTCCTATCAGTTGGCAACATCATCCTGGTTGCAGCGTGCGCAGTGCTGCACCAGTTGTTCAGTTCTGGAACTTTGAGATTTGCCTTCATAGCCCGTACACCTTGGTTGGGTAGAAACAAATCTGGAGTAGTAAACTGGTGTGATGTATGAAGTATCACTGGGCAGCCAATTGTCAATAAAGATGCCTTTTTAAAAGCTGCAGCTGCCTGGTCCTGATAACTGGGTGGCAGGCCA